GAGTGGTGCACGAAAGAAGGAAAACCATGAGAAACGGCCCAGAACCCGAGAAATGGGACCCCTTCCTTGCCCGTTGATTTCCGCATTGATGCGACTCTCATCGGTGCTGCCCTCTTCAACGCTAACGCTCTCTCTGCTAACGGCTAGAGACCTGCGGCGAGTGGTTAGCCGGTCGGTTATCGTGCCTCGTCATTAGCGCCGCGGGGACGACTACACTAGGTTGCAGGGGCGCTATCGACGATTGCTGTGAATTGCGAGTCGGTCCGCATCGTTAGAGCCATGCACAAATTGCCGAATTTCCCTTGGCTTTCAACGGTTTATGAAAATTTTCCCCTAGCAGCGATCATGATGCCCATTCATTTCTGTATACAGCTGCATGGCCGGAGCCATACTTTCTGAATCCAGCGAATTGCAGGATACGAGCGATACGCCAGCGAATCGAGCGATCCCTTCCAAAATTCCAAAAACCTCCGAAATGTCAACGACACCCTTCTAATAGGGGATTCCTGATCTTTCGAAGAGCCTTTTTCGTTGCTGAACGGGTGAAAGTGGCCTTCCACTTCTAAATTATGAGTTCCGAGCGATAACGGAAGGCTCCTATAAATCGACTTTTGCCATCCCTTCTTCGAGCATGCCAATGTTCTTGGGCCAGTTTTGCTATTGTTAAATCACCTTAAAGGCACAACCGAGGCAGAGGTCGTGAACGCTTCCCTTCGGTCTGTAGATAGACCCTAAAGGACAATCACAAATGTGGCGTTCCCGTGCACGGAAACCAACCGACAAGAGCGCTTGGGCCTTGCAAAGTAAGCTGCTGAAGCTGCAATTTTTTCTTTATCAGGCTGTTGTCTGGCGCTCTCTCATCTGTAGCGCTCTCTCGCCTCATACTCTCCTCTCCGCGCTTAGTCTCTCATTCCCTTAGCACAGCCGATTAGGAAGGTGAGTGAGCCCTTAACCTGAGCGTTTTCGACGGATTCTTTTCCTTTTTTCTTTACTGCCGGCCCATTTCGCACCAATACATTCGCATTCGTGTGCAAGAGCCACACCAATGTGATCCTGGGGCATGCCTTTAAGATTACATATAATGGAGTCATATAGAGGGATGAAGTGTTAAAGTTCTTGGGTGAAGTCCAATGTAAAGGGTGGGCGAGTGCTGTACGATCCTTCAGTTTGAGTCATCGTGATCAGAAATTATTGGGTTTTTTCGCCCCATATTAACAGCTTATGGGTTGTTGTAGTCATTAAATGTGATAAGAAGGTAGTAAGCGTTTTTACTAGCGGCAAAAACGAAATTCCTAAGAAGTAATAAACACTTGAAGCGCAATTACGTCATTAAGGTAGCAATTTTTGGTCCTTCAAATGCATTTAAAAATGTTCTATCCAAGGGCATTTCTTCGTCATTTCAGTCAAAGCTAAAAAGTGTCTCGACCCGACCCGACCCGGTTTTGAAAGCCCATCTGCGACTTATTTGTTGGAGCAATCCAATCCATGTGAAATGTAGGCTGGTCCGCCATCGTGGAGGTAGTGCCAATTCTTTTTCTCATAACGAGCAAACGAAAAGCGCTAGGAGGCACCGTTGCTGCAGCATTCCGCCCACCGAAAATGTCTCCGCCTTCAAATGGACGTGATGTCCTTTGGAGTTTCTTTCCCTTTAGCTCTCTCGTTTCTATTTCAGTGCTTTTTCTTTTGGGTACCCCATAGGAAGTTTCACGCAGAAGAGGGAGGGCTAGAGTTAGGGTAGATGGCTGAGTAGGTCGCCTTCTCTAACCACTATCTACGCCGATCTACTTCACTATAGCCTATGTACTGAGTCGACGAAAGTCGCGAAAACTCACCCCTTGTCTCTTTTTGTCCTCCCCCTTGCCGCGGTAGACCTCCTGATAGGGTAATCTTCCTTTTGCCTTCTGCCTTTTTTCGATTGAGCCACACTATCCGCAACCTTCTACTGTGAGACTATCTCGCCTTCAAGAATTGGTAGCTGAAAAAATGGTGTTGGAATAAGCTATTAAATAATTAACCTGAAACTTCAAGTAATAACCAATTAGCCTTCATTGAGATACAATGGTGGGACAGTAAAGTTTGATAAAAGGATAAAGGATAAAGCATTTGCCGTTGATCAATCCCTTTTTGGGATGCGGCACGCATTCTACTTCCATTTGTACATTCGTAGTGGCGTTTGAATGCGATGTGGCCTATACAATGACTTGCGGGGGCCAGCCGATGTACAAGTCAGTGTTTATCCTCCCAGACAAGTCTGGTACCAATTAACCGACCCCGGAGGGATGGAAGGCTTGGTTGGCCCGGGCGACTCACGACCCAGGATTTGATCCCCGGACCGCTCGCGTGGTAAGCGTGCCACTTGCCACTACACCACTTCCGCCCTTGTCCAACCACGATAGCAAATCTCATCTCAGACATATTCGCCCCCCAGACTTTTGATCGCTGTTTTGTGTTGAACTTCGCTCAGTTTGTCCTTTTTGACTACTGTTCTCTCGATTAAAGGCGCATTTTTCACAATCCTGTCTTACTAGCGAAAATTTGTTGAGTTTTTGCTAATCGCTACGTAGTAATCTCAAATAGGCTGGGCCGCAGAGGTTTTCTGCTAGCCGCTTCGCCGCTAGATAGAATCACTCTGTCAGCCAAGATCGCAGACTACTACACCTGATTGGTATGCTAACGGATTCGAGTAAAATTACGCGTAAGAATCGCGGTTGTCAGGCGAACTAGAAAAAGGGCTGGACTGTCAATACACCTCGAACGAACTGTATTCAAGCCCTGTCGCTATAATTTTCATTTGAAATCGTCGGGAGTTTAAATACAAATCAATTCTGCATGGCCACATGCATTATAATATAATCTGTCTATGCTCACTATAATTTTTCCTATTTCTAACTTGTAAGTTTCCTAAAATTGGGCCCCTTTTTTTGAAAAATTACTAACGTTTCTGAAAGTTGTAGAAGGGGATTGTTTGGCGTGTTTGTATAATACGATCAGAACACTAACGTCTCTATAAGATATGTGCGCAACCGACTGAATTTCGACACATACATATGTAGCTGGAAAGAGGTAGACTAGCCCTAATAAGGGGAGTTCAGAAGTTCTGTTGGGTCGAAGGTCTCAAGAGGTGCTGTGACAAGTGGTGCTACTTCGCCCGCTCACGACTACGGCGATCAAGTCCATCAATCCCCAATGGGTTGCTCAGGCTAAATAAAAGCCTTTCTTTTCCGATGGCGCTTAATTGGTCACGCCTACATTAAGATCTTAGCGACATTTATAAAGGTCAATGCAATGTCACCACGATTCTGAATGTAAGTGGAATTCGTGGCGTATCACAAAAGGATTGATCAACATCGCATGCTCTATCCTTTATTTTGTTCTTTATCAGTTCGTAGTTGTTGTTGGGTTTGGTTTTCCTGAGGCGACTGCCCGCCCCCACCTTTTTTCTTGCGACTATCCCACCCGATCACTCGTTAATGGCTCGTCCTGCTTCTAACCTGAAGAAGTTGTGACAACTGTTGACAGAACCTTGAATCGTCGGCCAATCTCGCTATTCAGAAGGAATCAGCAACCTTTTCAGGCTCGCCCCTGTAAAAGTGTCCGCTAAGAGACCCGTGCGCGGCGAAAGAAGAGACGCAGACGCGGCAAAGGACGAGTCGCAGCGCATACTGTAGCGGTTACCAGGTCAAATGTAGTGTACCATACTACGTCTCATATCGCACAGCACGCGCTGCGACTCGTCCTTTGCCGCATCTGCGTCTCTTCCTTCGCCGCGCGACGAACCTCTTGGGGGACACACTGCTGTAAGAGTGCAACCAGCTTAGCACTGATTTTATTCGAGACTTCAGTATTGACTGTAGTGTCACCATTAAGCAATAGAAAAAATATTTGCTCATTTTTCTAAGCGATTAAACAATCCCATCGGCCACTGTATAAATACACATCGTCATTAAGCACTCACTTCTAATTTCTCAAATATTTATTTAATAGTTTAGCAAATTTTGGCTTAACAGCTACATGTCAACAGCCATTCGTAACTTGTACGTGAGTTAACAAAAAAAACCATTTGAAAACAGTGACATTCATTTCATGGCTATGGAGATTTTATTCTCTATTTCTGCCTTGAATTTTTTGAAATGCGCCATGTACTCTGTTTTCGCACAGAATACATTTTCACGCCGCGATCTCCATCATTCTTTTACGAGTCGCACTGAAACTTTCAAGCCACTTTCTTTTGAAATGGGTCCAGCACGGACTTTCAATGGGATGGTTTTGAGTCCTTTCCGAGATGCGCCACACATTCTGGTTCCATTCGGAGTCGTAGTGTCATTTGAATGTTGCGCTCCTGAGTAACTTGCGTGGTCGGCCAATGTACATATAACCCAGTGTTTTTGTCCTTCCAATAAATTATGTACCAATTTAATGAAGCCGGAGGCGTAATAAAACTCAGGCTGTTCAAGAAGTTTAGAGCGCCGGGATTTGAACTCGTAACTACTCTTATGCCAAGTGAACCACTTGCCACTACACCACCGTCGCTCCTATGATTATTGAATAGGAATGGATTGCTCGTTAATCTAACCAGAACTAGACCTGAGCCATTAAGTGTGATATTCGGTTGGGTACCAATGTACCCCAGCGAGTGACACTGAGCCCTTACACTTTTACCTTTCCATTCTTAGTTTTTAACCCTCGTGCCTGTCCAGGTCTCTAAGAACCAGAGGTCGTCATACATCTTCCGTTGACTTTTAATTCGCACTACTTATAAAAATCAGGAGCCAAACTGAGCCCCTCAAATAGAATTGCCGCGATCTGTTTGAGTATTTTTACCAAAGTGCTGACTTATATGTAGACTTATTTATTACTTACTTGCGAGATTGCTGCTATGAGATCTGATCGCTCTTTGATGTCCCGCTAGGGTTCATCTTTATCAGCTGTTTTTGCACGAGCATTCCATCTTACGTCTTTATTACCATTTAGTTACTAGTTTGCCCACCACAAAAGTGTCAATGCAAACACCAGTATCAGTAAGCCGAGTTCACACGACCACATCGTCATCAGCAGAAGCAGAGTTCCACATCGCCGGTGATGTTAAAATCTTACAAGAAATAGGGGTGCAACC